GCTCACTTGGTAGCCCAGGCTGGCCTCGAACTCACAGAGATCCGCCTGGCTCTGCCTCCCGAGTGCTGGGATTAAAGGCGTGCGCCACCAACGCCCGGCTGTGTTGCATTCTTTTATGTTGCATTTGTTTAACTCTGTGAAGCTGTGTTACTGTGTCTGTCTAAAACACCTAATTGGTCTAATAAAGAGCTAAATGGCCAATAGCAAGGCAGGAGAAGGATAGGCAGGGCTGCCAGGCAGAGAGAATAAATAGGAGGGGAAACTTGGGAGGAAAAGAAGTTCAAGAGCTCAGTGGTTACGAGTACTGACTGCTCTTCCAGAGGTCCTGGGTTCAAATCCCAGTACCCACATGGCAGCTCACAATTGTCTGTAACACCAGTTCCAAGGACTCAACACCCTCACACAGACATAGATTCAGGCAAAACACCAATACACATTAAAAAAAAAAAAGTTCAAGGAGAGAGAAAAGAAGGGGCCAGCCACCCAGCTATACATCCAGCCATGGAGTAAGAGTGAAAGTAAGATATATAGAAGTTAAGAAAGAAAGAAAGAGAGAGAGAGAGAGAGAGAAAGAAAGAAAGAAAGAAAGAAAGAAAGAAAGAAAGAAAGAAAGAAAGAAAGAAAAAAAGAAAGAAAGAAAGAAAAAGCCCAGAGGCAAAAGATAAATGGGATAATTTAAGAAAAGCTGGCAAGAAACAAGCCAAGCTAAGGCTGGGCATTTGTAAGTATTAATAAGCCTCCCTCCATGGGTGATTTATTTGGGAGTTGGGTGGAGGGCCCCCCAAAAGACCAAAGATCAAAAGAGTAGAAAAAATAATCAACAACACAGGAGAAAGTCAATAATCATTCTGTATTTCTTACATCAATAATTACCCAATTAAAATAGCTCTATAGCTTTTATCTTTTACATAATTATGTATGATACAGAGTCTTTGGAAATAATATTTTTTTTTCATTTATCACCATAGATAGTACAAAGAGAAACCAATTCACCTAGTCTTTAGATTTTAATTACTTTGAGGTTTAAGATACCAGGTATAGCTGGTGGCACATGCCTTCGATCTCAGCACTCGGGAGGCAGAGCCAGGCAGATGTGTGAGTTCAAGGACAGCCTGGGCTACAGAGTGAGTTCCAGGAAAGGCACAAAGCTACACAGAGAAACCCTGTCTCGAAAAAAACCAAAAAAAAAAAAAAGATACCAAGTACAAATTGAAAAATAATGTTATAATGTTTATTAGGGCATAATGTACCAGGGATAATGCTAAGGATTGTATTCTACCAAACGTTATCTTCACATTTCACACATGAAGAACTAAGGCATAAGAATTGATAAGATAGGGAGGTCAGTCCAGAGTTCAACTGGACTGTGTTTTTGATCCTTGTGTTTTTGATCAAGGAGCATGCGGCGCTGCTTTCCTTTGAGCGCATTACAAAGGCCATGGCCGAGAGTCAGCATTTCTATATGTAAGTCTCAGGCCAGTAAGCACATGTAGTCAGGTTGCCGAGTCCCCAAATAGAGGAACATCAGAAGAAAAAAGTACCCATCTTCCTTTTCCAGTCACATATCCTTTGTCAAGCTGTCCCTTTCCGGCCACATCATAGCAGCCTGAGGACACTGGGTCCATTAATAACAGCAGAGGAGCCCGCAGAAAAGGGAAATGGAAATGGAAATGGAAATGGAAAATGCCAAGAGGAAGCTGACATGAAAGGGCTGTGGGTAGGGAAAAGGCCCAGTGTAATCGGGTATTCCTTCAGACTAAAGCTCAGAGCCACACAACCAAAGGATCTGGACAGGAGAGTCTCTCGTCTAGGAAATGCCTGACTAGACAGACATCATGTTTTCCTTCAAAGTGCACAACACTAAGGACAATTTACCCGTCTCAACCCAGTGCTTGGCAGATGAAAGGGGACATATTTGAGGGACCAGCATATATGAATGAATGCCTAGGCAGCACACAGCCTTGGAGAACATGCTGTGGAATGGAAAACTTTCTGTTACACGATGCTACTATTACTTCTAAGTAGACTTCAAATAACAGCACGATGCAAACAACCTGGTGGGATAATTCTTGAGCATATTATATCTAATTATAAATTATTGTTATAAATATATGTAGATGTGAGAAAAAACAAGCCCTTGACTTGCCACTGATTGTTTCTTGCTTTTGCACTTATTTATTATTGGTATTCATGTTTAAAAAGTAGTGTAGTTCAAAAAACAACAACAAAAAATACTTTTGTGAAACAAGTTCTAACTGACAATCTTTAATAAGAATCGAAAAACTTCACGTTTGGTAAGAGACAAAGTGCCATGTAATCTGTGTCCTCTGACTTCCCTACTCACCTTTCAGCAGGGGAAGAGCACAGTCCTGCAGCTCCATCAGGACACCATCCAGAACAGCCATCATGGGGGTGATGTCCAGCAGCACAAGAATGATGGGCTGTCAGAGAGCGAGGACAGCAGGTCGGTGGGGCGGGCGGCACTCACTCTCAAATCCGCCCCAGTTCTGTCTGGATACACTTAGCTTCCACTAACCAGTCATAACTACGGAAGGGAGCTGCTGCAGCTTGCTTCTATTAGTGGTTGTAGCTATGATTTCATTTTAGATAGCTAACAATAACTACAATATCTGACATGAAGGGAAAATTCAACTATCTGTAGGTCAAGAGAAAGACTCAATACTTTTAGAAAAGGATTGCAGTGTACAGAAAACAGACTTGCTAGAACTGGGGTTGCCTGTTTCCTGTGGGGGTAGACTTCTCCTGTGACTGTCTGGGTTCAAAACAGCATCGCTGGAAAGAAAGGGCAGGTTCAACAACTTTCTCATAGGACCCCCTTCTTTCTCATAGGACCCCCTTCTTTCTCATAGGACCCCCTTCTCCCGGTCACTCTCATCAGCGACACACTGTTACCTGCTGGTTGCACTAAGCTAAGTAAACACAGCAGGTGGAAGAACTCTGACTTCAAGTATGGTCAGTCCTGCAGGGTAGCCTATAAACATCATAGCTTCTGCTAACAGCAAAGGACTTATTACAGTTACTGGGACTGCCTCTTCATTCACCATTTGCAACTAGATACAGAACCTGATTAAGAACATTCTTTTACTACAATGCCAAGGTTTATAGACATGCGCCTACCTGGTCTTTACCAAAGACAGATCCATTTCCAATACTGTACAACAGTGAATATGCAATCTGACCAGCTGCTCCAGTCACAAGGACTCTGATTGGTTCAGACTGTAATGAAAAAGAGCCAGTCATAGCTTATTAAAGTGTTAGTTCAATAAGGCAAAACATGCTTTAAAAGGGAGTATGAAACCTTCAAGTCTCTCCCTAGCTTAGTAGAAAGCGAACCTAGGCTTGTTTTCAGGAAAGACAGCATGGGCAAATGAACTATGCAACTTACCAAGTGTGTCCTTCGTCGGCACACTTATGAAGCATTAACTTTTACTCAACAGATGCAAAACCCACAAAACTGAATTTACTTATGCAACTGTGTCCATCTTTGGGGGACATTTTGCCAAAAACTAGGCCCACAAGGTCATATCCATATTATGCGGTGATATAAACCCAGGCAGGTCAGAGGAGCCTCACAGATCTTTATCATGCAAATCCCGACTCCCACCTCATCAGAGTCCTGCACACTAGGAAAAGGTGTAGCAGTGACTAAAACCTTCCCTTTAAACCAAAAAGGTTTAATGAAACAATCCTGCTTTGACTCAACTACCCAAAGAGCAAAAACAATCCTGCATTTACTTAGAAGCAGGGTCTCCCTATGTAGATCAGGCTAGCCTAAAACTCACAGAGATCCACCTGCCTCTACCCCCGAGTGCTTAAGGTGTGCATTACAATGTTCAGTGTTAAGCCTTTATTTTACAAGTTATATTTGTTTAAAATATATGGGGTGGGAGTATACACGACACAGCATGCTGTGAGGGTTGGTTTTTTCCTTCCCTTGTGTGGGTCCTGGGGATTGAACTCAGGCCGTAAGACCTAGCAGCATTTCCTTTTACCCACTGAGCCATCTTGCTGGTCCAAGCCTTTAATTTTTTTTTCAAGTAGAAAATTATTAACATCTGGAATACAATAAATTTTAGTATTAAATATTGTACTAAATCAGCAATAGCTGACAATCTGATTCTAAGGGAAAAGTATGTTTTAAAAGGAGGAAGAGAAACCATAGAAAAAGTACAATAGTTATATAATAGGAAAAAAGCAGCTTTACAGTCTAAGAGACTCTGAATAAAAGAAGACACACAGACAAAAATAACAACTGTATTCAAAATGAGGGCTGAGTAATGGAAAAAGTTTAAATTAAGCTCAGTGAATTTATAGGCTAGAATGAAGAGAAAATGTCCCTTCCTTGACGATGCTGAGCACTGTGCTTGCACTCTGTGTCATCCTGGTCCCTCCCTGCATGAAGAAATGACCCGCTAAATTGACGGGGCATAGAAACATTTCATCTCTCTTTTTTTAGAACAGTCTCTTCTAGGTGAGTCATCCATCTGAGATGGGAAGATGGGTGGCCTGAAGTCAACAGCACTCAGTGACTTGGTCCCCACAGATGGCAAAAAGGAAAATTCAGGAAATAAGTATTAATTGTTACAAAGAAATAAATTTGACCATAGTAGATTTTACTTGCATTTCTTCCTCAAAATATGCCCAGGATAGGAGTAGAAAAATATAATCAAAGATAAGACCTCAGAAAGCTATGGAGAAAAATTCTCCTTGATCCCTGGGTTTCTCCTGCTTCCATATCTCTAGATATATTAAACTTAATATCTACATAAACCAATTTTAATAAAAATATATATCTATATTAATTAATATGTACTTAATAAAACATGTATCTATGTCCAAAATAAACTATATGTATGAATAGCACTCATTATCCTATATGGTTACTTCCTGCTACATACAGCTTTACAATATATGTTCTAATATATCATTATTAGAAGCCTTTACTATTCTAGACCTGTATATATATTTCATCTTGTCATCTTTCCTTTTGAGGTTGAGAAATGAGAAGGGAGAAGCTGTTTCCCTCTTCTGGGGGCTTTGCCTATTTCATCTTCCTGAATTCAATTCACTGCTATATCTCAACTGATAGATAAAAACAGGTGCACAGCTAGAACTCAAGTACTTGCTTAAGAAATAGCTGGATCATGTAACTAAAGACTGAAATGTACACAGTTGGAAGCAAATTCAACGTACTTTAAAAAAATGAAGATACTTTATACATGTAGACGTGTATTGAGAAGACTGGAAACTGAGGGGCCATATTTCAGCTGTACTAAGCAAAACTATGTCACAATTTTGAAATATTTTTATTACATTTATTTGAGTGTGTGGGTGGGAGAACACCATGCACATTTCCTCTGAGATTCCCACATTCTGTAGTTATATATTTCCATGTCTGTCTCTCAGCTAGACTGTGATGTTCCCATGAGAGCGGTTTGCCTTTGAATAAAATCTGCACTCTTCATACAGGTTTCAACATCTATTTACTGAATGAATAATGTAAAGGTAAAGCTTACGGGTGAGTGTAAAGAAAAGATAAAACAAAGCTACACTGATTTCCAGGCATAGTGGCACACTCCTGCAGTTCTAGGGCTGGGAGGTGAACATGAAGGTCGGGGTTCCAAGAGGCCAGCATGGGTTATATGAGACCCTGACTCAAAAACAACCAACCAGAGATCATCACCCCCTGAAGATCATCACCATCAACCCCCCTCAAGATCATCTCCATCAACCCCATCCCAAAAGATCACCACCAATCCCCCCAAAAGATCATATCCCCAACCCCATCCCAAAGATCACCACCACCAACCCCATCCCAAAAGATCATCACCACCAATCCCCCCAAAAGATCATATCCCCAACCCCATCCCAAAAGATCATCACCACCAACCTCACCCCAAATTTGATTTGAACAGCATAAAGCAAACTGGGATAAGAAATGAGGGGGAGCTGGAAGGTGGTGGTGCATGCCTTTAAACCTGGTACCAGGGAGGGGGCCAGCCTAGTCTACACAGAGAGAGAGAGTTCTAGAATAGCCAAGACTACACATAAAAACCCTGTCTTGAAAACAAACAAAAACAAAGCAACCCTCTCCCCAAAACAAAAAACCAAAAGAGAACAAAGAAAAAAAAAAAGAAAAAAAGAAAGAAAGAAAGAAAAAGAAATGAGGGAGAATGTGCCCATCACATCTATAAATTTTAACCTTTCAGAAATTCTAGCCGACGGTTAGAACAGAGTAATGTAGCCTTTTTTCAAAAATGTGTTCCCAGTATCACAGTCTGTAGTGAAGAGGCTGTGGCCAACTAATCAACAGTTAATTCTCCTCCAGCAGGTTCCCTCTGTGTCTGGGCCATCCCATCTTAAGGGCTGTCTTAGTTTCTGCATGATGAGGATGTAGGCAAAGGAAACACCAGTTTGGTTCTTAGCGTTCTCCTGAGACACTGCAGTTGGAAAGTTGGGTAGGAGAGGCCTACTGACTTCCCACAATGCAACAGTGCCAATGCAGGTTACTATTCTTTGCTCAGACATCTGGGTATTCTGCCCAAGTCCAAACAGGAATGGCTTCTCATTTGGCAGGGCGTCAACGCCCTTCCTGAGGACACAGGCTGTCTTAAAAATGTGCTATGTAGTTGAAAAGCTTTAACTGTAGTCCCCCTCTTGTTATTCCACAGAGCAGCATTCCTTTTTGACTTTGTAGTTTACTGTAATAAGAAAGAGAAGTGGTGTCCTTCCCGTCCCCAGGTACTCTTAGGTCACTCCCTTATGGACAATGGCACAGAGTTCATTTCAAAAATGCCTTTGATTGGCTTACAAAAAGACAGCTCTTTTCTTCTGAGACAGATTCTCCCCATGTAGCCCTGGCTGGCTGGAACTTGGTACATAGAGCAGGCTGGTTTTGAAATCATAGAGCTCCGTGTGTCTCTGCCTCCCAAGAGCTGCAATTTAAGGCATGCACCACCACACTGAGTGGAACCGACAGCTCTTTTCTAAATCAGTAATTTGCTCACATACTCTTCCCAGGAGACAAGAAGGTTCTGAATCATGTGAGACTGCAACCTGACAGAACTCTTCTACCTGGACCAGCTCATGCCATCTGGCACAGATGTGGCCCTCTAGGGGTGAGGCTGGTTCTGCCTACTGTATAGGGAATGCATCAGGGGCCCTGGATCTCCATGACCTTGGGAAATCAATGACCTTGCCAGGCTGTTTTAAGATTAGATGAAATAATCTCCAAATCCCCTTTAAACTTCAGAATTCCAATATTCTGAAAGATGAGGAATAAAGCTATCAGATATTACATGCTGGCGTTATGGGTTTATATCTTAACAGGTAACCAGCTACTGAAATTACAGAATGACTTGCTAAATGCATGATACAGTCAAGGTAAAATGGGAAGAAGAGACCCAAATCTCATGACCTTGAGAAATTCATATTCTGGGTCTCAAGAATTAAGTTTTAGTATTTTAAGTGGGGCTTTGGTTAAGATGATTTTTAAAAGGTTTTCATCTACATCTAAAATTCTAAAGTCTGAAGTTCTTGGGTAACCACCCCCGTTTTATGACTAAAATCATTACAGTAGAAACCACTTAGGCCATAATTTAAATAATTACTTATGTGCCAAAATAACATTTACTGGGAATTAGCAGTTGTCCCTTTGGGGTCTCTTATAGAGGTTGAGGGCGTTTTTGTCCCTGCTTTGAAACATGTCTTTTCAGGTTCTGTGAAATTTCTAATTCATCCAAATATTTTCTCATACTCCCCATCTTGAGATTAAAGGAGAAAAAGTCTTTTCGAAATATAAATTCTAAAGTACTGTAGCAATTTCCAGTCTGGTGATAAATGTCACCTTCAAAGAGCACGCAGATTATTCCTACGTCAGAGTTCCTTCACTCCCCCCCCCTCGCAGCTGGGACAAGACAGGAAGATCCAGCGATCTAGAGCTTTCAACAAGATGGTTGCGCTACATTTGCAAGTAGGTATGCTGCAATACGTGACAGAGGAGTAAAGAATATCCACATTAATTGTTTGACTAGCGACGCTAACGAGTCCTGGCATTACATAAGAAGATCAAGAATAGGTTTTCAGTAACATTTTTTTTTTTCCCTTTGAAATTAGATATGGCAGAAACATTGTCTCCTGAAAACTGGGATCATAACCTGGAGCACTACCTACCTCAACATCACAAAATAGACGTTAGGATCCAGTTCTTTCCCTCCCACCAAATCTCATCCCCGTCAAATCCTCAAACGTCCTTCGGAGAAAATTTTGTCCCTCAGCCATGCGTCAGGATCGAAACACGTCTCTCCAAGGACAACGACTTCTCTAGAGTCCTTTTAAGGACTCCCTGATAGATGCAACCCCCCTTCCAATTACTGGGTTACTGCGACAGTCTGCGAGGATGAACCGGGTTTTGCAAACCGCGCGAAGAACAGCGCCTGGCATTACTGCTTCTCTAAAGCGCAGGATGAAGCCCGAGAGGCCGGAGCTGCTGCAGGATCCGGGAGCCCGTACTCACCATTATTGAGAATTGCGTGGACGATTTGTGCACCTGCAAAGGCGGTCTCGAGGAGCCAGGTCACCTCTACAGCGGAACCGACTCTGGGAGTGAGCGCTGAGCTCGCCAGGAAAGGTTCGGCCGGATAGCTCACGCACGTTCTGGGAAGTGTAGTTCAGGCGGCCGGTCTCTGGCGCCCATCTCCGTGGATTCCTGACAGGGAGAAACTACAGTTCCCGAAAGGCCCTCCTTTCTGCTCGCTTCGCGGACTGCAAAGTAGTCCCCGGGGCTGAGCCTCTGTGATTGGAGGACGTCCGTGAGCGGAGGGTTTGTGCTGAGGTTGAAACGCCTGACTGACGGAGCTCAGCAATTGGCGGGAGGGGAGGCGTTAACTCGAGGGAGGAGAAACGACCCCTGAGCGACAGCACCCGCCGCGCCACCGAGACTCTGTCCTCCTCCAAGGCTAACCGAGGGAGGCTGAGACCTTACGTTGCGTAAAGGCCGCTTCGACCCGGAAACAAACCTTTTAAAAACCCACTCTCTCAGGGGCGGGAGGAATCGACGCGTCCGGAAGAGCGGACAGCTTCACGGTTGCTAGGCGACAAGTCAGGCGCACCTGAGCGCTCTCGGGACCGAGACCCAGAGGAGCTGCGTCCCCGCTCTGCAGGCAGGTGAGCTCGGCCCCGAGGGGGTGTCTCTTCAGTCTGGATCCAGAGCAGGGTGCGCCGCTGCCGCACGTTGCCTGAACCCGGGTCGGACCTAACGGGCGCGCGTGGGCGACCTCCCGGGTCCCCTGTTAGTGTCGGGAGCGCGTGGATGCTGCCACAGTGTTCAGGAGAGAGGAGCGCTCTGCAGTTTGCGCCAGGGAGACTTTTCCAGAGTCAAGTCAGGAAGATTTGTTTGTGGAGTGAGCCCCTTCCTTGTAGGAAGGAGCTTGTGGTACACGGATCTAACTTTCTCTGCCTCCCGCCAACATTGACACTTTCCACTCGTTCTCTTTCTGGAAACGGGTTGCGTTTTAAAATATCTTGATAAAGTTATGCCAAACTCGTATTTCCAAGGGAGGTTGGGAGACACTGGTTGTTACAGGCAGAATGTTAGCGGCTAAAACAACGGAAGAGGCTTTCATTTCATTAAAATGAAAGTTGCTAAGGGAACCGCTGTATCCTCCAATTTGTTTTGTGTGAATATTCCGAAAGACGTGGTGCTTTGGAGCGGATCAATGCATATGCTATTGGTCTAACTTCAGGATTTTCTGTCACTAGTAAATGAATGCTGAGAGGCTTGACTTTTGTTTTCTTTGGAAGACTTACTATTTGGAGAAAGAAATATAATGCCTTAGAGTCTGTCTTAGAGTTTCTGTTTCTGCAATGAAACATCATGACCAAAAGCATGTGGAGGTAGTCCATCACTGAAGGAAGTCAGGATAGTAACTCAAACAGGGCAGGAACCTGGAGGGTATGACCTGATGCAGAGGCCACGGAGGGATACTGCTTACTGACTTGCTCCTCCTGGCTTGCTCAGTCTGATTTCTTATAGATCTGCCCCCCCCCCAGCCCAGAGATGGCCCCACCCACAAGGGGCTCGGCCCTCCCCCATGGATCACTAATCAAAAAAATGCCCTACAGGCTTGCCTACAGCCTGATGTTATGAAAACATGCTTTCACTTGAGAGTACCTCTTAACTTCTGGTTCTAGCTAATGTCAAGTTGACATAAAACTAACCAGTACAGGGTCCAATGCATGTAGGTTTCAATAGAAAGTACCATACTTGAATGACTCCTTGAATCACTTTGTTTGTTAGGTGCTTTTCTTTTGTTCTTGAGCACTGATCTTTTTACATTGGAATGCTGCATCTGTCTCTGTCCACGCTTAGCTCGTTCATGGGTTGTATCTCTAAATGCTACCTCTGTCAGAGACTCTCAGATTCCAGGGCACGTCTGTGTACTTGGTGTTTCTACTCAGTTTTCTAATGAGCATCAGTTCTGTTATTTTATGGTATTTCCTACTGAGCAACTATATGTGGAAGCATCACACTCTAGATAGAGATAGCATGACTTGCTCGCAGTCTCTCTTGTTGGTTGAGGGTGAGATTACAGGATTTCCAAGTGAAGAGGGAAGGGCTGGAACTGATTTCATGGGGACTGTGCTAATGGATCTGCCATGGGAACTTAGGACAACAGGCTGAGACACTTGGTTAGGCTCTAGAGGTCAGAAGTGAGCAGGCCGCAGTTACTGTCTTTTACGGATCACTGTAGCATGAAACAAAAATTTGCAATCCCCAAAGGCAACACAGCAATCTGGTACCCGTTAAAAGGCTTCTTCTGTGCTTGGAGGGCTTTAATAAGGGGGTGCCGTCTGAGCTAGGATGAGGCGACAACTGCATTTATAGTGCCACTGTGTGCTGGTGAGTTTTCATCAATTTTACACAAACTAGAGTCACCTGGGAAGAGAGACACTCTGTTGAGGAACTGCTTCCATCAGAGTAGTCTGTGTACATCTTTGGGTCGTTTTCTTGGTTGCTGATTGTCTTAGGTAGGGTTACTGTTGCTGTGATGAAACACCATAACCAAAAACAACTTGGGGAAGAAAGGCCTATTTGGCTTATGCTTCCACATCATTGTTCATTATTGAAAGAAGTCAGGACAGGAACTCAGAACAGGAACCTGGAGGCAGGAGCTGATGGAGGAGTGCTGTTTACTAGCTTGCTCCCCATGGTTTACTCATCCTTCTCATAGAATCCAGAACCACCAGCCCAGGGATGGCCCCACCTACAATGTGTTGGGTCCTCCCCATCAAACACTGACTAAGAAAATGTCCTATGGGCTTTCCTACAGCATGATCTTGTGGAGGCATTTTCTCAGTAGAGGTTCTGTCCTCCTACTGATTCTAGCTTGGGTCAAGTGGATATAAAACTAGCCAGCACACTGATTGAAGTGACTACCGCCATTCATTCCTGGGCGATAGGCCTCGGCTGTGGGTGAAAGGTAGCTGAGTAAACCAGCAAGCAGTGTTCAATGGTCTTTGCTTCAGTTTCTGCCTTAGTTTCCATTAATGATAGAGTAGGATGTGGAAGAGTAAGTTGAAGTAAACCCTTTCCTCCCCCAGGTTGCTTTTGGTCAGTATTTTGTCATAAATTTTGGTGGAAGAAAGTTATCACTCAGAACAGAAGCAGGGGTAGTATATCTTAAGGAACTGTTTCTTTTACCATTGGGCTTCCTATGGCATGAATAACTTATGAAATGCTGATGGACCAGGAATGGACCTTGCAAAGACAAGAAAAAAAGCCCAATTTTGCCTCAGCCATTGTCTTTTATCCTGAAAGAATCCATGTTTACAGTCCTGATGTGTTTATCTATAAGACTGTTCAGGTTCAGGTTGTACCAGTAATGGAGGTTGGAGAAAGAGCAGCCTAAGGCATTTGAATATTTTAATATGTGCTTCAGGTCTGTGGTGGTTTGAATGAAAATGGCCTCCATCATATGTTTGAATCGTGGTCCCCAGGTGGTAGAACTATTTGGGGAGGATTGGGGGTGGGTGGTCTTGTTGGAGGAGTTGTGTCATAGGGGAGAGCTTTAAAGTTTCAAAGCATCCAGACATCCCCGGTGCACTCTGATTCCTCTTGGAGGTTTGAGACATGCATTCTCAGCTGCTCTGCTGCCATCCTTCACTTGGCCATCATGGACTCCAACCCTCTGGAGCCATAGCCCAGTTAACACTTGGTTTGTAGGTTGTCTTGATTGTGGCGTTTTGGTACACCAATACGTTATTAACTCCTACAAGGTCTGTATTCATATATAATTTTTATGACTTATAATAACTTACCTAGGTTGGTGTTGCTATAACACAATCAATGGATTAAGCAACAAACATTTTTTTTTCCTCATAATTTTTGGGGCCTGGAAAGTGCAAGATCATAGTATCAGCAAATTTGGTTATTTGTTCATAGATAGATGTATTTTCTTTACCTTTTTCATATGTGACTCTTTATGGAAGAAACAGCCAATCCACAGTGCTGTATTTTATCTTGAGATACTTTGTATGAGCTTGTCTTTTTTCTAAGTTTTTGTATTAAACATTCTTTGCAAGTTAAACTTGATAGTAATTCTCATTCCTGTGGAAGGAGGGGAAAAATGTTCCTGGAATTGGCTCCTGTGCTAGGCCATAACTGAGAAGATTGAACTGAGTCACTTACGCAGAATTGCATAATCTGACTGAAACGTCCAGGAAGCCAATAAATTCCCCCCTGGAAGAATTTTTTTCTGCTGAGAGTGGATAATGAAGTAGACCCATGTGACACCTGTCAGCCTTCCTCAACAAATAACAAACACCAAAAAATGTTCCCAACCTTATGTTCGCCAGTCAGCCTTCAAAATTTATTTTTATTTTTGGATTATAATAGCATCATTTCCCCCTTTCCTTTCCTCTCTTCAAATCCTCCATATAGCCCTCCTTGCTTGGTCTTATTTTCTATTCTGTTTCCTTGTTCCTACTTTGGAAAACCTATTATTCTGTCATTGCTCAGTGGGAACTCTCATTTTATTTTGTAGGATAGATTCTGCCCTGATTCTTGAATTACAAATAAAACCCATTTTAACCTGTAACTAAATTGCTGTAATTTTGGCTGTCATCTTTAACCTTCAAGTCCGTGCGTTGGTTCTTTACATCCCACAGCTGTTTCTCCCATAGCCTCCCTTCTTTGCCTGAGCCCAGGCCTCTTGCTAGCCAACATCCAGTTCTCACAGTTCTCATTTCAGATTCTTTTTTGTCTGAAGTCTTTTTCTTATTTTTTCCTCCTGTGTATGTGTGTGTGGTTTGCATCTGTTGAGTACACATGTGTCTGCAGACACTCTTGTGTGTGTGTATGGATGTGCACGTGGGTAGAGGCCCAAGATTGACTTAGGAGTCTTCTTGATCTCTCTCCACCTAATTCACTTGAGCAGGGTCTCCCCCTGAACCCTCTCTCACCTATCTGACTGGTCTAGAAGCACTTGCTTCTGGGATCTCCACTGTCTGCCTTCTACTGCTGGAATTCCAGCTGGGCCACCATGCCCACCTGGAGTTTATGTGGATCCAGATTCCTGTTTGCATGCTTATATAGCAAGTGCTTAACATTGAACCATCTGCCAGCCCTGGCTTAATGTTTTAAAACAATGAACATGACTATATCTGTTTTGATATATATATTTCTGGGAAAATGATAGATGAGTTTATGTTTAGATATCAGTATTTTTACATAAAAATTAATTAAGAGTATATAAATCAAGTATTTTTTACAGTATTTTGTGTTAGTAGGTGGAAAGGAGAAGTATGAACAGATTTATTATTAATAATTTATGTGACTTTATAACTACAAAATATATCCACGTGTACAAGAATAATTATAAGCACATTTTACCTATGAGGCATCCTAGGGCTCACAAGATCTTTTATAGTATAAAATTATTTACCCTCATACTGATTTTATTTGTAGCATATGTGAAATTGGCATACATTTTAGGTTTTTTTAAAATGTAAAATCAAACTTTTAAGCCTTTTGTATTGTTCTGTTTTTGTTGTTCTTGTTGTTTGAAACAAGATCTGAAACTAGAATTCATTATATAGTTCAGGATGGCGTTGAACTCACAGCAGTCCTCTTCCCATAGCCTCCTGAGTACTAACTAGGGTTACAG